CTACAGTCGAGGGGAGGGTTTGAGGAGCCCAGGAGTTGGGTTTGGAGACATGGGAACGGAATGCCAATGCTCAGAGCTGCACAGGGCCAAAAGTGGAGTGACACCCACCCCAGGGAGCCTTTGAGACCAGCTTGAGGCGATTTTCCAGCAATGTAGAGGGTGACGAGGAAGCGGGCATGGGGGAGCTCCCAAAGGGTCCCTGGGAAGGGGCCTGAGGCTGAGCCTCGCAATCTGAGCTACACTTGGTGGGCTGAGATGTGGAAGGAGGGAGGCCCTGTGGAGCAGAAGAAGGCAGCAAGAATCTGCCCAATTGAAGCACAGAGCAAGTGTCAGTTTGATGCCAGAGGGATCGAGTCAGTAGTCGAGCTGGGAACACTGGTTTCTCCTTGGGATGCAGAATTTGCAGATGCAGAGCCAGCTGGCTGGGGGTTGCTGAGGGCCAGCCACACCCCAGCTGTTCTGGACCCCCCTCAGCTGCCCCTTTCTCTGACTGGCCGTCTGTGTCTCAGCACTTAGGGTGGCTGTTCATCTTCTCGATGGCCATCCTGCTGTTGCTGATCAAGTTCTTCCAGTCCTGCTGCTCGAAATTTGGCTACCGACAGGAGGACTACTTGACCAGCTACCTCACCAACAAGGAGCGGCTCTTCCAGCGCACGGCCGAGGTGCGCTCGCTCGCGATGGCGGCCAACAACGTGAAGCGCTTCTTCGGTTTTGTGGCGCTCAACAAGGAGGACGAGGAACTGGTCGCCAAGTTCCCCTCACAAGGCACCCACCTGAAGCTACAGTGGGACAATATCACTGGCAGTTACCTGTTCCAAGAGAGGCTGGGTCTCCCCCTCTACAGCCGCCTGCACGAGTGGGCCCAGGATCCACGTGGAAAGGCCAGGCTCATCGACATGGAGATGGCGGACCTGCTCCACCACCCGGAGCCCCAACTTGCTGCGAGCCCGACTCCCAACCCCTGAAGCACCATCCTTCCTCCCGAACCGCTGGCTCTGGGGGAAGAATGACGATCAGAGGTATAGCGTGCAGTGGAGAAAGCAGCAGACCAGCCGCCCCTGAAGGACAGGCTTGTGGACCTGAAGAAACTCAGGCTTCACAGGCAGGAGTCCTGGATGCAAAACCCCAGTAGCAAGTTTTCCCGAGCACCACCCGGGAGTGACTCCCTAGCACAGCCCCAAGTAGAAACCTGACAGCAGAAAACCTCCAGAACCCAACTGGCACCATGCTCAAGGCCACTCTCCACACACTCGAATGACCTCACCCAAGTGGGAACAGGCAGGAAAACCTAGGTATGCGGGACCTGTGGCTGAGATCGCCAAGTCACTTGGATCGGGCCTGCCCCCCCCCCAGCTCCCCAGTTTTCCAGTAGCTTGGCAGTCACACACACTAACTGCCCCTGGCCTCACGTAATCTCATCAATGGCCAAGATCCAGAGCCTACAAACTAAAGTTCCTGGTAGAGAGGGTCTGAGAATTTCCTAATGCAGCTGCTTGACCTCTAATACTCTAGCCCACTAACATACCAAAAGTAGACACATTTGTTTGGTTTGAACATACTTACTTGTATTCTCTTATATACGGGCTTAAATGGCTCCAGAATGAAAGAGAACAACCTTCACACACTTTCCTCTTGTGTTGGGAGGGTGCTTGGTGGTGGGATTGGTGTTTGAATATTGCCTGCAATGAACTATTGTGAACTACTTTATGAAAATAAAACATATAAAATTTGTAAAAAAAATAATCACCGTATCACTGTCATCCCGTTATTCATCCATTTGTTCAAACAGGCACCAGTAACATCTCCATTCATCCCAGCCCAGGGATTTTAGCAGCCTCTTTTTACTTGTCCTTCCCAACGGTGCCGAATTGGAGGCTCTTTCAGGGTCAGGGGAATGAGACCCATTATTGTTCCTTCTTTTGGCATATCGAGTATACCATGGGGAGCTTCCAGGCTCTTCCATGCGGGCAGAATACTCTCAGTAGCTTGCTGGATTCTCCAGGAGGGACGATGAATGTACATACATCTCCGTAAAATGAATAAATAAAGTAAACACTGGCTGGAGAGATAGTACAGAGGGTAGGGCTCTTGCCTTAGCATGTGGCTTACCTGGGTTTGATACCCTGGACCACATATGCCAGGGGTCATCCCTGATCCAAATAGAAGGCATGGAGTCAACTGGGTATGGGGAAAAAAAAACATCCTGCTCCAAATTCTTTCAGCGATGCCCTCAGAGCTCAGGGTCCCACATTCTGAAGTTCCCACCCAGCAGTCCTGAGATTTGAGTTCTACTTTTGGTTTGGTTAGTTTGAGAACAACGGCCGCACCAGTTGTGCTCAGGGTTTACTTCCAGTTTGGTGCTCAGGGGTGGCTCTCGGAGATGCCTGTGGGACCATACAGAGCGAGCTGTGCTGAGGACCGCACCCTAGGACTTCTGCCAAACCTGCCCCTCAGCTCACCCAGGAAACACACGTCTCCCAGACCCTTAGGTGCTGCTTTTTGTTTGATTTCCCTCCACCTAAGATTTTGTTGTTCCCCCTCTCCCGAGTTATGAGACCCTGATCAGTACCAGCAATGCTAAGGGTGTACTTCTGTCTCTGCTCAGAGCTGACTCCTGGTGAGGCTCAGGGGACTAATTATGATGCCAGGGCTTGAACCCCTGGTTGTGCTTATGCCAGACAAGTGCCCACCTACAGTATTATCTCTCGGGCCCCTCCATCTGACGTCTGAAACAACATCAGAGTTAGCTGGAACTGGGGTGCGACCTCCTGGGAAGATGAATCAGCCAGGGCAGCACAGGGAGAGGCAGAAAGTTTTGCCATCTTCGTGCCATCTTCCTCCTTCCCAGCTGGGGCAGCTCTGCATGGTGGGGTGAGCGTCCCACAGGTGGCTGGGCTTGGCCCTGACCTGCTGAGACCTTACAGTGTAAACCGCAGAGTCCCCCCTCCCTCCCTCCCACACACCTGCTCCCCACCCTCTGCCCTGCCAATTTCCCAATTCGGGGCTGCCATGTACGTCATCAGTCGGCTGGCCCTCCTCTTTTCTGGAACAAAACTTTCTGAAGGCACCCAGATCCAGCACAGAAGCAAAGCAGGAAGTCGAGGGTTCTGCCGAAGGCCTCCACAACCCAGGCCACCTGTCCTGTCCGGGAGCTCTTGGTAAGCAAGGAGCCAGTCCTGGGGTGTACGACTTGTCTCAGAGCAGTCGGGTCGGTCCTCCTTCCCCCCCCCCTCCTGTTTTTTTTTTGAGAAATTTGGAGGTGCTCCTTGCTGGCCTGGGGTGTGGTCTCGAAAGAGGACCTGGTTCCTCCTCAGTTACCCCCACCAGTGGCCTCTGGAACCCTACTTGGGCACTTGGCACCCAGAGTCTGTGCTCACGGGAGCCTTAAAGCCAAGAAGGGCTGAGGCAGAGCTAGGGGCCTGGCGAGCTCCAGCCCTGGCAAACACACAAAGTCCCTTTTCTGGGAAACAGACCCACCCACGCCCCATCAGGATGAGGGGTCAGATCTCTCCCCGACAGCGAGTTCAGCCCAGGCCCGTCTGGAAGTCTTGGCAGTAAGCAGATGGGACACACGTATAGAGAGGGAACCCCTTGGGGCAACTCTGGGTGATACCCTACCTGTCTGCTCCCTCACCCCGCAACCTGAGGACTTTGCTTTTTCCTCACAGAGATGGAGAGAATGATAGGGAGACAGGGGATAGAAGGTTCCCTAGGGCCTCCGGGTGAGCAAAGAATAAGGTCAGCAGAGATGGAAAATTCACTTCACCCACCACCCAAGCCTCCTTAGATCGTGCTCTAAAGGCCTGCCAGGGCACCTCCATATTTGCAGTTTGCAGGGATGGAGGGTAAACCCAGGTCTTCACAGGGAAGAGGTCTGAGCTCTACCTCGAAGCCATATCCCCTACTCCATGCTCCAGTTCTTCCTGGGGTATCTCCTGCTCTTTGCAGTGGAGAAAATGGCCCCTTCTGGCCGACCCTCAGAGCTGCCCCTGGAATTTGGGTTCAGAACAGACATTCATTTTTTTTTAAATAATGTGGGAGTACTGTTATTTTTGCAGTCACTGATTAAGCTAATTGAATTGGTCATAAACTACACATTACTTTTTTTTTAATTGTATCACTGTGAGATAGAGTTACAAAGCTTTCACACTTGGGACTAGCCATATGGTGACGGAACACCCATTCCTCCACCAGTGCACATATTCCATCACCCACATCCCAGTCCTCACCCTGCCTCTATGGCAGACAATTTCCCCAATACTTTCTCTCTAATTTGGGGCATTATGTTTTGCTTGAAATTTCCCACCACCATTCAAGCCTGTCTGCCAGGGGCAGAAGCTAGATAGTTTATTTTCCATTCTCATTTTGAAAATCATGAGAGCTGGCATGGCCGCAATTGTAAATGGAAATTTCTAGATTGGAAACTGTTGGGTTCCAAAGACATCTCTGTAGGGCACGCATCCATTTTGGGATTCAGTGGGGCCTTTCTGGGCCAGGGCCCTTGGTGCGTTAAGATGGCACCTGGACAAATTGTGAGCATGACTGCCAGTATCTTGGGCAGGTGGGGATCGGGGGGAGATAGCCTGGGTCCTCTGCCACCATGTGGCCTGGCGTAGTCCTGGAACCCGCACACCTGGTCCTTGCTTGTGGAAGTTTTTGGTCACCGGGATTCCATCTGGAATAGGCGGGGAGAGCACACAAGCTCCGTCTGGGGTGTCCCAGTGAAATTGGCTCGGTATGGGGCCCAGAGAGATCTCCGGCACTGTGGGTCCTTCTGGGACTTGCTGCTTTGTATCTGGGCCAGGGCTGTTGATACGCTAAGATGGCGCCGGAGGCAAATTGTGGGCCTGACAGCCAGTGAGTAGACATGCTTCTGCCTCCTGCTTTCCTACAGGAGGTGACCAGCAGCCACCACCGTGAACAGGAGAGCCCAGCCCAGCCGTGCTGCCAATCGCCCGCCAGCCTGCACCTCGTCCTAGTGCAGCCCTTGACCTGACACCATGGTTTACCTCAGCTTCCTGTCATTCTTGTTCAAGAGTACTGATTGGGTGAGCTTAAATGGGCTAGTGGCCCTGGTCACTACAAGTGGCCAGGAGCTCTTCTCCTTGTTTGCCTTCCACTGTCCGTGCACACCAGGGTTGAACTTCCAGTACGGGCTGATTACCATCGGGGTGCCCGCCTTGGTGTTCTTCTTCATCAGCATCTTCCTCAACAAACAAACCAGGAACCTGGTGGCCGAGTGCAAGAACTGCATGAACAAGGAATGCTCAATCATCACAACCGTCTTCCTCCTAAAGTCCATCCTAGTCCGTGCTCTCGTGGCCCCAGTCACCTGGTTAGTCATCTCCCTGCTGCGCGGGGAGGCCTATGTCTGTGCATTCAGCGAGTTCATGGACCCGTCCTCGCTCACGGCCGGGGACAAGAGCTTTCCTCTCTCCCATGCCACGTGGGTCCTGGCCAGTTTCCCTTGCAGGGAGGGCCCAGCCAACCTGTCCGACTTCCAGGAGGAGGTGAACCGCAGGCTCAAGTATGAGTCTCAGGTAAGGCTCTGCTGATTGATCCTCATCCCTTTCCCTGTGAGGTATGTGTGTGGACGGGTGGGAGAGGGTTGGGGGAGCTAAGTGCCAAGGTCGGATATGATCCTCAGGAAAACTCCAAACCTGGGTCACGTAATCAGTGACAGACATGAGGCAAGATTCTTGGTGTGATAAGAATCATTTCCAGTTTCAAATAGGAGAGTTGTGCTCATTTTGGCAGTGCTGGGTGTGGAACCGGTACTCACACATGCAAGGAAAGTGCTCTATCGCTAGGTCATTTTCCCGACTCCTCCAGATAAGAATTTTGATGATTTGGGTTTTGGCCAAACCCAACAGAACTCACGAATGCTTAAAACTTAACTAGCATTCGTTTTATTTAGGGAAGGGGGAGACAGAAAAAGGGAGAGAAACAGTCTGGCGTTCAAAGGGAACAGGTACAGAGGGGAGAGAGCTGAGGATGCCCCAAGGTCAAAGAAAGGAATTACACATTCAAGCTGGGATGCAGCTGGCCTTGACCGGGAGATTCCCACTTACTCTCGCAAAGTTCCCACAGACTGGCCCAACTTGAGGTTTTCAGTGCAGATAACAGTCTGTTGCAAGGGGCCAGTGATCGTACAGAGGTGAGGGTGTTTGCTTTGCACATGGGAGCCTTAATTTGATCCCTGGCATCCCATATGGTACCCAGAGCACCGTGGGTGTGACCCAAAAAGGAAAAAAGAAAAAACAAAATGAGTCTGTTGTTAGGGTCTTGTCAAGGGCAGAGTTTGGGGGAGTCTTCTTCCACCTCACCACAACCTTCAGTTCCTATTGACGCCTCTCTCTCCTGGACCACCAACCTGTGCCAGCTGGGTCTCAGGGGGCCCTGTCCTGTGCCTTGGGCTGCTGTAGAGCCGGTGATGGAGCTGCTTTGGAGCAGCGGTCTCCAGCCTCTCACACCCGCCCACTCTCCCTGGCACCTGGGCCCTGGTCAGGCAATAAGAACCTGGGCAGTAAGAACCGAGGCTTCCAACTCTCTCCACCTGCCGACCAGCACAGCTCTGTGGTGAAATCCGCTGCTTTAGATCCCATATTGATCCCTTTGCTTCTGAGACATCCATCGCCTGCTCCTCCCTACCTTCAGCCTTGGCTTTGCTCCGAGGGGGCAGAGGGATCAGGGCAGAGTGAAGGAAGCAGCCTGGTGGGGGCTGAAGGGGCAGAGAGGAGGCTGGGGAGTGGCAAGGAGGCACTGACCTAGTCTCGGGACATGGCAAACACCAGTTGGGATTAGGGACAGTACAGGGCTAAGGCGCAAGCCTGGCGTGCACCAGCTTGATCGGGTTCAATCTGGCACCACACGGTCCCCGAGCACTGACAGGTTCAGCCCTGGAGGCTCCCTGAGCATCACTGGATTGACCCCAGGTGTCACCAGGGAAGCCTGGTCACCCCCAGCCCTACAGGGTTTGGGCAGCATCACATCCCTCAGGCCTAAGGCTAAACTGTGAGCCAGGTTGGCTGAAGTATCACCAGTGACCCTTGGTCCCAACACACACACACACACACACACACACACACACACACACACACACACGAAGCTATGGTAGAGGGGAGGGTGTGAGCAGCCCAGGAGATGCGTATGGAGACACGGGAATGGGATGCCATTACTCAGAGCTGCACAGGGCCAAAAATGGAGCGATACCCATCCCAGGGAGCCTTTAAGACAATAATGAGGCGATTTTCCAGCAAGGTAGTGAGGGTGAGGAAGAAGCGGGCATGGGGGAGCTCCCAGAGGGTCCCTGGGAGGTGGCATGAGGCTGAGCCTGGCAGTGTGAGCCAGACTTGGTGGGCTGAGATGTGGGGAATAGGGAGGCCCTGGGGAGGAGGGGAAGGCAGCGGGAATCTGGGGAATCTGCCCAATTGAAACACAGAGCAAGTGCCGCTTGGGAACGCTGGTTTCTCCTTGGGATGCAGAATTTGCTGATGCAGAGCCAGCTGGCTGGGGGGTGCTGAGGACCAGCCCCACCCCAGTCGCTCTGGACCTCCTCAGCTGCCCCTTTCTCTGACCGGCCGTCTGTGACTCAGTACTTAGGGTGGCTGCTCATCTTGTCGATGGCCATCCTGCTGTTTCTGGTGAAGTTCTTCCAGTCCTGCTGTTCGAAATTCGGCTACCGCCAGGAGGACTACGTGGCCCGCTACCTCGCCAATGAGGAGCAGCTCTTCCAACGCACAGCAGAGGTGCGCTCGCTCGCAATGGCAGCCAAAAACGTGAAGCGCTTCTTTGGGTTCGTGGAGCTCAACAAGGAGGAGGAGGAGCTGGTAGCCAAGTTCCCCGCACAAGACACCCACCCGAAGCTACAGTGGGATAAGATCACTGGCAGTTACCTGTTCCAGAAGAAGCTGGGTATCCCCCTCTACAGCCGCCTGCATGACTGGGCCCAGGGTAAACATGACAAGGCCAGGGTCATCGACACAGAGATGGAGGCCCTGCTCCCCCACCGAGAGCCCAAACTTGCTGCCAGCCTGACCCCTGACCCCTGCAGCCCCATCCTTCCTCCTGCACCAGTGGCTCTGGGGGAAGTATGAGGTTCAGAGTTATGGGGTGCAGAGGAGAAGGCAGCAGACCCAGCTGCCCCTGAAGGACAGGCTTGTGGACCTGAAGAAACTCAGGCTTCACAGGCAGGAGTCCTGGATGCAAAACCCCAGTAGCAAGTTTTCCCGAGCACCACCCGGGAGTGACTCCCGAGCACAGCCCCAAGTAGAACCCCGGCAGCAGAAAACCTCCAGAACCCAACTGGCACCATGCTCAAGGCCACTCTCCACACACTCGAATGAGCCTCACCCAAGTGGGAACCGGCAGGGAAACCTAGGTATGCGGGACCTGTGGCTGAGATCGCCAAGCTCACTCGGATCAGGCCTGAGCCTCCTCCCCCCACATCCCCAGTTGTCCAGTAGCTTGGCAGTCACACCCACAAACTGCCCCTGGCAACATGTAATCTCATCAATGGCCAAGATCCAGAGACTACAAACTAAAGTTCCTGGTAGAGAGGGTCTGAGAATTTCCTAATGCAGCTGCTTGACCTCTAATACTCTAGCCCACTTACATACCAAAAGTCACACACATTCATTTGGTTTGAACATACTTACTTGTATTCTCTTATATTCGGCCTTAAATGGCTCTAGAATGAAAGAGAACAACCTTCACACACTTTCCTCTTGTGTTGGGAGGGTGCTTGGTGGTGGGATTGGTGTTTGAATATTGCCTGCAATGAACTATTGTGAACTACTTTATGAAAATAAAACATATAAAATTTGTAAAAAAAATAATCACCATATCACTGTCATCCCGTTATTCATCCATTTGTTCAAACAGGAACCAGCAACATCTCCATTCATCCCAGCCCAGGGATTTTAACAGCCTCTTTTTACTTGTCCTTCCCAACGGTGCCGTATTGGAGGCTCTTTCAGGGTCAGGGGAATGAGACCCGTTATTGTTCCTTCTTTTGGCATATCGAGTATACCATGGGGAGCTTCCAGGCTCTGCTGTGCGGGTAGAATACTCTCAGTAGCTTGCTGGACTCTCCAGGAGGGACGATGAATGTACATACATCTCCGTAAAATGAATAAATAAATAAATTAATTAATAAAGTAAACACTGGCTGGAGAGATAGTACAGAGAGTATGGCTCTTGTCTTAGCATGTGGCTCACCTGGGTTTGATACCCTGGACCACATATGCCAGGGGTCATCCCTGATCCAAATAGAAGGCATGGAGTCAACTGGGTATGGGGAAAAAAAAACATCCTGCTCCAAATTCTTTCAGCGATGCCCTCAGAGCTCAGGGTCCCACATTCTGAAGTTCCCACCCAGCAGTCCTGAGATTTGAGTTCTACTATTGGTTTGGTTAGTTTGGGAGACACGGCCGCACCAGTTGTGCTCAGGGTTTGCTTCCAGTTTGGTGCTCAGGGATGGCTCTCGGAGATGCCTGTGGGACCATACAAAGCGAGCTGCGCTGAGGACCGCACCCCAGGACTTCTGCCAAACCTGCCCCTCAGCTCACCCAGCAAACACATGTCTCCCAGACCCTTAGGTGCTGCTTTTTGTTTGTTTTCCCTCCACCTAAGATTTTGTTGTTCCCACACTCCAGTTATGAGACCCTGATCAGACCCAGCATGCTAAGGGCTTACTCCTGTCTCTGTGCTCAGAGCTGACTCCTGGTGAGGCTCAGGGGACAAATTATGATGCCAGGGCTTGAACCCCTGGTTGTGCCTATGCCAGACAAGTGCTCACCTGCAGTATTATCTCTCGGGCCCCTCCATCTGATGTCTGAAACAACACCAGAGTTAGCTGGAACTGGGGTGCGACCTCCTGGGAAGATGAATCAGCCAGGGCAGCACAGGGAGAGGCAGAAAGTTTTGCCATCTTCCTCCCTCCCAGCTGGGACAGCTCTACATGGTGAGGTGAGCATCCCACAGGTGGCTGGGCATGGCCCTGACCTGCTGAGACCTTACAGTGTAAACCGCAGAGTCCCCACTCCCTACCCCCCACACCCCTGCTCCCCACCCTCTGCCCTGCCAATTTCCCAACTCGGGGCTGCCATGCACGTCATTGGTCTTCTGGCCCTCCTCTTTTCTGGAACAAAACTTTCTGAAGCCACCCAGATCCAGCACAGAAGCAAAGCAGGAAGGCGAGGACACCACCGGAGGTCTCCATACCCCAGGCCACCTGTCCTGTCCGGGAGCTCTTGGTAAGCAAGGCGCCAGTCCTGGGGTGTACGACTTGTCTCAGAGCAGTCGGGCCGGTCCTCCTTCCCCCCCACCTTGTTTTTTTTTTTTGGAGAAATATGGAGGTGCCCCTTGCTGGCCTGGGCTGTGGTCTCAGAAGAGGACCTGGTTCCTCCTCAGTTACCCCCACCAGTGGCCTCTGGAACCCTACTTGGGCACTTGGCACCCAGAGTCTGTGCTCACAGGAGTCTTAAAGCCAAGAAGGGCTGAGGCGGAGGTAGGGGCCTAGCGGGCTCCAGTTCTGGCATCCCCACAAACTCCCTTTTCTGGGAAACAGACCCACCCACGCCCCATCAGGATGAGGGGTCAGATCTCTCCCGGACAGCAAGTTCAGCGCAGACCCGTCTGGAAGTCTTGGCAGTAAGCAGACGGGGCGCATATATAGAGAGGGACCCCCTTGGGGCAACTCTGGGTGATACCCTACCTGTCTGCTCCCTCACCCCACAACCTGAGGACTTTGTTTTTTCCTCACAGAGATGGAGAGAATGATGGGGAGACAGGGAATAGAAGGTTCCCTAGGGCCTCCGGGTGAGCAAAGAATAAGGTCAGCAGAGATGGAAAATTCACTTCACCCACCACCCAAGCCTCCTTAGATTGTGCTCAAAAGGCATGCCAGTGCATCTGCATATTTGCAGTTTGCAGGGGAGGAGGGTGAACCCAGGTCTTCACAGGGAAGAGGCCTGAGCTCTACCTCGAAGCCAAATCCCCCACTCCATGCTCCAGATCTTCCTGGGGGTATCTCCTGCTCTTTGCAATGGAGAGAATGGCCCCTTCTGGCAGACCCTTGGAGCTGCCCCTGGGATTCAGGTTCAGAACAGACTTTTTTTTTTTTTTTAATAATATAGGAGTACTGCTATTTTTTCAGTCATTGATTAAGCTGATTGGTTTGGGCATAAACTACATATTACTTTTTTTTTTAATTGTATCACCATGAGATAGAGTCACAAAGCTTTCACATTTGAGACTCAGCCGTACAATGACAGAACACCCATTCCTCCACCAGAGCACATTTTCCATCACCCACATCCCAGTCCTCACCCTGCCTCTAGGTAAAGGTAAAGGTAAAGGCCCTCCCTTTGATCGCCGATTTGCTCGAGCGGGCCCAGTAACGTCTCCATTGGAGACTTTGTTGTTACTGTGTCTGGCATATCAAATACTCTCGGTAGCTTGCCGGGCTCTCCGAGAGGGGCGGAGGAATCGAACTCGGGTCGGCCATATTGGCCGCGTGTAAGGCAAACGCCCTACCTCTGTGCTATAATGTCCCCAATACTTTCTCTCTAATTTTGGGCATTATGTTTTGCTTGAAATTTCCCACCACCATTCAAGCCTGTCTTCCAGAGGCAGAAGCTAGATAGGGGCTGGAGCAAAAGCAGAGTGGGTAGGGCATTTGCCTTGCACGCAGCCAACCTGGGTTTGATTCCCAGCATCCCATATGGTCCCCTGAGCACCGCCAGGGGTAATTCCTGAGTGCAGAGCCAGTAGTAACCCCTGTGATTCGCCAGGTGTGACCTCCCCCCCAAAAAAGCAGAAGGTAGATAATTTATTTTCCATTGCTCATTTTTAATATAATGAGAGCTCGCATGGCCACAATTTTAAATGTAAATTTCTATATTGGAAATGGTTGGTTTCAAAAGACATCTCTGTAGGGCACTAATCCATTTTCGGATTCAGTGGGGCATTTCTGGGACATGACTCTTGGTGCACTAAGATGGCACCTGGAGGCAAATTGTGAGCATGTCTACCAGTCTCTTGGGCAGGTGGGGACCCGGGGCGGGGGACAGCCTGGGTCCTTTGCCACCATGAAACCTGCTGTAGTCCTGGAACCCGCATACCTGGGTCTTGCTTGTGGAAGCTTTTGGTCACCGGGATTCCATCTGGAATAATCGGGGAGAGCACACAAGCTCCGTCTGGGGCGTCCCGGTGAAATTGGCTCGGTATGGGGCCTAGAGAGATCTCCGGCACTGTGGGTCCTTCTGGGACTTGCTGCTGTGTCCCTCGGCCAGGGCTGTTGGTGCGCTAAGGTGGCGCCCGGAGGCAAATTGTGGGCATGACAGCCAGTGAGTAGACATGCTTCTGCCTCCTGCTTTCCTACAGGAGGTGCCCAGCAGCCACCACCGTGAACAGGAGAGCCCAACCCAGCCCTGCTGCCAGGCGCCCACTAGCGTGCACCTCGTCCTAGTGCAGCCCTTGCCCCGACACCATGGCTAACCCCAGCGTCCGCTTCCTGTCATTCTTGTTCAAGAGTAATGATTGGGTGAGCTTACATTGCCTAGTGGCCCTGGTCACCGCCATTGGCCAGGAGCTCTTCTCTTTGTTTGCCTTCCACTGTCCATGCACACCAGCCTGGAACTACCAGTACGGGCTGATGACCATCGGGGGGCCCGCCTTGGTGTTCTTCTTCATCAGCATCATCCTCAACAACCAAACCAGGAACCTGGTGGCCGAGTGGCGGTGCCACAAGATCAAGAAATGCTCAATCATCACAACCTTCCTCCTCCTAAAGTCCATCCTAGTCCGTGCTCTCGTGGCCCCAGTCACCTGGTTGGTCATCTCCATGCTGCGCGGGGAGGCCTATGTCTGCGCATTCAGCGAGTTCATGGACCCGTCCTCGCTCACGGCCGGGGACAAGAGCTTTCCTCTCTCCCATGCCACGTGGGTCCTGGCCAGGTTCCCTTGCAGGGAGGGCCCGGCCAACCTGTCCGACTTCCAGGAGGAGGTGAACCGCAGGCTCAAGTATGAGTCTCAGGTAAGGCTCTGCTGATTGATCCTCATCCCTTTCCCTGTGAGGTATGTGTGTGGATGG